TCTTCCCCATGCCAATGAGAAGCAAAATACACAGAGGCCTTGCAGTTGGTGGGTGCCCATGCCCTTTCATCAGGGGACACCACAGGAGTGGCAGAAGCCTGAACGGTCACACTAAGGGGCAACATGTGTCTGGCGCAAGCCTGCTTGCTCCCACGGTGGGCCATGCAGCTTCTAAAAATCTTGAAACATCGTTCGTTAAAATATTGGGGTGTTTTTCCCAATTCCCAGAGGAATAAAAATAGAAGGAACAACTTTTCTTATTCCCAAGAAGGTCCTTTCAAACATTACTTAGTTTATGCTACTGAGATGACTCTTGATGGCCCCTGAGGCAGCTTCAAGCACTGGACTGCTGGCCAGTGAAGTCAATCTTGTGATTGGAGAGGTGGATCTTTCAATCTCACCCAATCAGTAAAGGAAAAGTGTTTGAGACCAAGTTTAATCCTGGTGATTTAATTAATGATTTAATTAACAGACTGATTCAGTGGAACTTCCATAAGAAAGCTAAACATGGGTTGAAATAAACAGGGATATTCAGTGATGAAATATTTACAGCTGTAGCTAATGATGAAACAGACTTTGAGAAACAGAATAAAGATCCTAAAAGTTTGTCACATTGTTGGGTTGAGATGCAATAAATCATAAGGAAAGAAAAGAGAAGTGGTTCCAGGAAATTGCCATCCCTTTTCAGTTCCCCTCAGTGATGAAGAAACACAAACTAAAGTTTGAGTCACTTGATTGTCCAAGAAGAAAAAACAATTTTCCTCAGCTAAAAATAAGCAAAACAATTTTTTTCTTTTATTCTCCTATATTTGCTTTCTGGTCTTGAGTATTAACAATCTTATACCCTCTTATTTTCTTTGATTTCTTCCACTCCTTTGACTTGTTTAAGTTTGTAGATTATAGTGTATACTATGACTTTGAATAAGGAGTGTTGAGATAGTAGAAAGAAAAAAAGAAGACTGAAGCCAAAATTAAGTATAAACAAAATAAAAAGTAATAGGGGGTCAGGGATTTAGCTCAGTGCCATTGGGCTTGTCTGGCAAGCACAAGGTCCTAAATTTGATTCCTTGTACCAAAAAAAAAAAAAAAAAAGGAAAAAAAGTAATAGGAATAAAAAATCATAACAAGAGTAGAATTATGGGTGGGCTCAAGTCAGATTTGCAGACACATGTAAATTATTTGAGACTGTTCAAGGAATCAACCAACAACTAGCAATTGAGAAGATAATGACCACTATGAATTGAAATAAAAGCATTCACTGCATGATTAGACAGAAAAAACAAACATCATTTTGTTTGGGCCAGACCTCTTCTTTTTTTTGTATTAAATTCTTTTATTGGTACATTGTAGGTATACAACACAATTACATTTCTCACTGGGAATTGTACCTTTACATAATGCATCTTGGTTCTTATTTTTTCCCCATTCCTAGCCCTCCCTTCACCCCCTCCACCCTTCCCTATTTACAA